TTAGTTATTAAAGCTAATGATGAATTAATTTTTAAAATGATAGAGCTCTCCAATTTCTTTTCCCGCCCCCTTGGTGCTGAGTACTGAACTCAGCTTCACACATGCTAGACAGCACTCTAGCTAGACTCCAAGCTAGACCCCCCACCAACCCTCTAATTTAACTTATATTTGAAATGTTTATTCATTCACACACACACAGTGTTAGGAATCAAGACTAGGGCCTCATTCATGCTAGGCAAGCACTCTACCACTGAGCTACATCCTCACTCTGAAATATTTTTTAAAACAGTCAACTCAAAGCAATCTATTAGAATTTATCATATTAGACATTTAATTTCAATACTCAAAGTATTGAAATCAGCTTGTGTAATCCCTGGCTTTACAGATAAATTTAAATTCACTTAATTTTTACTATTCCTTCCCGTTTTTTGCTTTAAAAAAAAATCCATTTAATTAAAATAACAACATGCCACAAATTATTTAAAATGCCTACCAATAACTATTAGCTTTTCTTCTAAGATTTATAATTTCATGATCTTATGAAAAAAATGAAATTTAGTCATGTAATTTTTTTTCAGTGAAGCAATAACAAAATATTAATTGTTTAGGTTGGTTTTTTTTAACTTTTCAACTCTTAACTGTTCCACAATCTTAACAATGCTCTCCTTTTAGTTTCTTTAGAAACTAAACTGAACTTAACATGGCAAAAACTCTATCCAACGAATAAAATGAATAAAGTATGAACTAATGATGGCACCATTTTCAGTAATACTACACACTATATGTATGTGAAATACCACTACAGACAACAAATGCAAAGTGTTAAGATTTAGCTAGTCAACTAATTACAACCAAAATGTTAGTCTTCTTCCATAAACAAAAAGCAATTCAGAAAACAGAAGGCTCCTAAGTTTTAATTGAGAGAAATGTTTCTCCCCTATTAATAAACCCATGACAAGAAAACATTTATTTCCTGATTATACATTTTCTTTACCTCATACCAAACCAAGTCTGTTCCTTAGTTCTCCAAAGTCTGACAGCCAGACACAGAAATGAAAAATGAAGTGAATTCAGTTCATACTGGAAGTTTTAAAGTAAATTCTCTAAAACAATTTTGGTTTTAAAAATCAAATTAAAAATACCTGCTTCTGAGATAATTCTGAGATATAAATATATCAAAATAGATTCTACTGTCATATATAACTAAAATGAACAAACAGAAATTTAAAAAAAAATAAGCCTGCTTCCTAAGGCTATATCTAAAAGGAGAATAAAAATACCTGCCTTAACTCATTCTTAGAATTGTTTTAAAAAGTACAGAGTATTAGATGCAAAAACAAGTTTCTCCTTCTAACATCCAAATAATTAGTTTGGTAATAATCGCAAAGGTCCATCCTCCCATCCTCTCAGACTCTGTCAAACAGCTTCCCAGTTTTTCCATGTGAACACACCCTATCACAGTCTAGCTGTTGTGCTTCAGCACTCACACCAAAACCACGTTCTTCCCAGGAGCTGCTCCAAGCCAAGGACAGAACACACCAGGGAAGCTAGAGAGAAACCATTCGTACTGTGAGGAACTGTGCTAACAGGCAATCTTTGCTTCACTATACTCTGACACTGTTCCTATCCAACTTTCCTTCCTTCCCTCCCTCTTCCCATTCACAGATGTCACATCTGAATCATAGTCTTCTTTCCCCATAATTCTTTAAATTCTCCGGTTAATCTTTCATGGTGTTTCTTCCTCAGTCTCCATTCAATGTCCAATTCCATCTTGGAAGCTGCTTATCAGAGAACCTAAACTAACAAACTGAATAAAAAAGTCTCACAAATAGATGCACCACACTGTGAATTTCAGAACATCTAAGATAAAGGAAAACAATCTTTTAAGTTTTTATATGGAAAAATATTGAGTTATCAACAAAAGAAAGAGGATAAAATTCTCATCAGACTTCTCATCAGCAACAATGGACACTAAAATTAAACATAATGGTATTAATCAACTGATATAAAAAGTACAAAAATGTCTGACCTATTGGAATTCTATATCCAAATAAACTAACACCAAAAATTTACAAATTTGATATTCCATATATCCTTTCTTAAAAAATTGACTTGAAAGTGAATTTCAACAAAATAAGACACTGAAAAACAAACAAAAAATCCAATAGGACAGATGGTCTAGGATCCAGATGGAACAGGAGAGCAATCCCAAAAAATCTGTAAAAGAGCAGATTCTCTTCATGGGCCTAGAAAGAAAACAGTCTGTTTTGCAGCAGGAGGACAAAGGCTCTCTCCAGAACAAAAGTCCTTAAAAAAAATTACACACACACACACACACACACACACAAGTTCAAAAGAAAAGATGTGAAAAGAAGTTTTTAAAACTTGGGATATGATGTCATATATAACTAAAAAGAACAAATAAATAATTTTTAAAAATTGGGATATGATAAAGAAGTGAGTACTGGCCCCAAGGCCAATTTGTCCAAGGATAAAGCAAACTAAAATTATCATTATTTTACACTATTATTGGTGAATGAGTGAAGAAAGAGAGAGTTAAGAAAAAATTACTGATTTGACCTTGAGGATCCAAAGCATTCTCTTCTGAGTAACCCAGAAATTATGTCACTGGAACTTATAAACAAAAGTTTGTACAAAAGTACAAACTTAATACATAATTTGGTATAATAGTGAATAATATTTAAATGATTATATCAACACAAGTGCTATTTAATGATTTCCAAATTTTAGATCAACTATGGAACAATTACAGAAGGGCTATACTTGCATGCATAATATAGTTATTAGCAAACTTGAAAATATAAATGTATAGCTAACAGAAAGTAGTATATTGGCCAGGGTAGAAGAAGAAGGAAAGTAGAACTAAGGGCAGGGATATTAACAGAGATTGTTACCAAAATCACAGTCTTCCATCTCAAGGAACCAAGCCACAAATTGATAAATCAAGTTAGTAAAAGAGGAATTAGAGATATAAGCATATTTTCCAAAATTCTAGAACATCAGAATTAAGTATTGGGAAATTTTTACAATCTTAAATTGTTTAAACCCAAATAAACAAGAGAGACTATTTAGGACATAGAGCTGAGGATAAAAAGTATATGGGGGAAACTTACTATCATAAGATACATTCTATTACTTGATTTGTTTCAAATATTTATATTACTTTAATAAAAAATTTCAAAACTAAATGTTATTTATTGTATAAGTCCAAGTACGTTAAGTTACTCAGCCCACAGCAAGCCTTCCTGACTTCTACTACATTCTTATTCCATACTCTCCCTGCCTCCCCAATGATTTTGCTTCTTCAATTTGTTCCAATTCTCTATTGTTTGATTTGCCTCCTTCTCCATCCTTTCCTTTTACCTTAAGCCATGACAGGCCTCCCTATTCTAGCACAAACAAAAAATTCAATTGATTGGAATGTTCAAAATAATGTCTTTCCTATTTCTCTTTTACTTTTCATTCCATCTTTAAAAAACAGTCTATTTCCTCTGAAGTCTGGCTTTTTTGTTATAGCAGACCACAGGTTGCTGTAACAAAATACTATGAACTGGGTAAACTTATGAACTGCAGAAATTTATTTCTTACAGTTCTGGAGGCTAATATGTCCAAGGTGATAAAGACGCTAATGAAATTGGTTTCCAGAGATGGTTAGCTTTCTAACTCACAAATAATGCCTTCTTGCCACATCTTTACATGGTAGGAGGGGTTAAGCTCCCTGTGCTAATCAAAATACCTGACAAGAACAACTTAGAGAACAAGTTTATTTAGGGTTCATGATTTCCGGAGTTTGGTCCATGGTCAGCCAACTCCATTGTTCTAGGCCCAAGGTGAGAAAGAACATCATGATGGAGGAGGAAAGCTGCTCAGTTTATGGCCGCCAGGAAACAGAGAGAGGGAAAGAGAGACCAGGGTGGGGAACACATAAGAAATTACAGACAAAATATCCCAAAGTGTACACCCCCAGTGATCTACTTCCTTCAGCAAGACCCCATCTGTCCACAGTTACTACCCAGCAATCCATTACTTTGATCAGTTTATGGCTCTCATAATCTAAATATTCACCTCTGACCATTGCTGTGTTGGATATCATGTTTCTAACACATAAGCTTTTTGGAGGATACTTCATATCCAATCTATAACACTCCCATGGGCCTTTTTAAATAAAGGCACAAATCCCATTTCTGAGGGTTCCACCCTAATGACTAAATTCTATCCCAAGACTAACTCTTAATACTCAGACAGAGAGCACCATAACTCATGACTTGACAGACATTAAAAGACAATAAGTTTATTCCTATGCTCTCCTACCTTAATTCATAGATTGTTAGCTATTAAATGCTTTTATGTGCCTTGCCCACCTCCCTAAGAACAGCCTTATCAGCTTCAAAGACCTGGTGTATCTCTGGGCCAGGATGCTCTTGCCATGACTCTTCAAGGACAAACAACATAAAAGATAAAAATTGAGGAGCCATCAAAACAGGACATTCCTAGGGTCCTTGTTATTTGCCATGATTTATATTCTCTTCTATTTCCCACTTATGTGTTCTCTTAACAGCTATAGCAATTCATCACAAGACAGAGATGTTTACACAGAATGTGGCACTGATATAAAAAAACTTACATCTGACTTCAGGACAACTAACTGACCATGCCTTCCTCAGAGTTACAGTATACTCAGAGAAAAAGAAAAACACACCTGTGAAATGTACCTAAAGCTAATTAATATTTTTAAACCTTAGCCTTATGCAAACAGCCCTTTCACCAGAATAAAACTGGCTCTCTCCCTTTACTGGGGAAACCAGCCTGACACTCTCCAGTCAGTGCTGTATCTCCCTTCTCTTAGGAAAAGGACTAATAAAAGCCTTTCCTGTCTGTTTTCTCACTTGACTTGTTTTACCTCACTGAGTCAACATTCTGGTGTGTGGCACCTAATACCTTGGGAGTTAGAATTTCAACATGAATTTTGAAGGGACACATTTAGACCACAGCAAACAAACTTTAATGTAATCATGTTTCTACAGTTCTCATTTCACTTAATATTTTACGCAAAGCATTTATTTTACCCAAGATTTACCCAATCTTTCTTTCTACCCTTTTTCTCTAAGGTGGGGATGGTAATGGAAGAAGAAAAGAAATACTTCACAAGACCAGGGTTCCAAATAACGTCTGGGAAATGCTAGCATGAAGTGTTCCAATTATAAAAGCATCACTGCTGTGGTTCAAGAATATTTAATCTTCTGTCTTTTGCCACTGAAAAAAAAAAGCCAAGTAAATAACTAAAAACAACCAATTGCTTATAAGTGTTATGATACTTATTAGTTGGGCTTCATTATCTTTCCTTTCATAATCATTTGGTTGCACAAGACTAATAATAGGACACAAGCCTGAAACTCTCTAAAGATACTGAGTCCAAAGCTCAAAATGACACATTGCTTCAATATGTGTCAAATTATCCTGTATCAAATCTAACATTCCCCACAGAAAATAGTAAAGATCTTAAGAATTAAAATGAATAGTAAAAAAAACCAACCCATAGATGAAAACCAGTGAATCAACTAAGATGATCAAAAGTTCACCATTAGACAGTGTCCTGATTTTCTTTACACTAGAAACAATTTTGACTTTTTAAAATATATTTAAAGTATTAAAAGTATGCTATTGCTTTGGGTCATTTATGTCCGTTTGTAAGATAATCAAATCAGAAAGGCCCACATCATAGTTATTGGTACAAGGAAAAAAAACTAATTTATGGAGCCATATTTATGGAAAAACTAGCTGATTTTTATTATTATCAATGCCAAACAATGCTTTAAATCAATTAAAATTATTTCATTAAGCATAAAGTTACTTTCACATTTGCTACAATCATAGTAAATATATTTCTTGGCATAAAGACAGTCTTTTGGGGGGGTTTAAAATATCCCAAGTGCAAGATTATGTATATAAAACTCCCATTATTGTTTATGTAATAGTGGATTAATCAAATTAAAATAGTTATACTATCTAGAATAAAATAAAATGGAAATAATTTACTCATAAGATTCATATTTAAATCATCTTTATTTACAAAATACTATCCTGAGAATTATAATTTCATTAAGCTTCAATTTGAGCAAAAGTATAATCACTTAAGTAACAGCAGTTACTTAAACTAAAAATAAGAGATAAGTCAAATTACTTTTGAAGAGAGATCAAAAATATTGTCAGGTTTCTTGTTGTGGTTCTGGATGTTCAGTAGCAGGCTCATTTGAAGGCGGAATCAACCCTGAAGGGAACTCACTTCTACTTTCAGAATGTGGGGGTGAGGGGAAATATCCAGCTCTTGGGGGAAGATAATGAGGAAAACCCCTCGGTGAATAAGCATTTCTCACTGTTTAAAGAGATTGGTAAAAGACATGTTTAATTTAAACTGTAACTATAGCCCTATTAAATTGATAACTTCCAACACCTATTCTTATATTCAAACTGTGACAACAGAATAAGTATTTGATCTATTTTACATTGAGAAAAATACACTTTCTTCAATTATATATGATTAATGATAATATTATTAATTTTAGACACAATTTATCCTAACATTTTTTTAAAAAAGAGAAAAGAATTATTTCAAAATATGCAAAACTGACTTAAAAACATTAATAGTTTCCTAGACTTAAAATTCAGATTAGTGTTTCTGACTTGATACTATACTAAAACATTTCCAGTTAAACCAACAACTGTCTTAAAATTCCTCAAAATTTATTTTAATTCATCTTAACTAAAAATAGAGAATAGAAGAATGACTACATCAGAAAACTAATGTGCTTTTGTCTATTATTTGGTAATCATAACTTATTCTGCAGTAACCTATAGTTCTGAATGGTAAAGTATGACTATTAAAGCAAAGAATTAAGGCAGGGAGTTGTGGCTCAGCGGTAGAGCATTTGCCTAGCATACATGAGTTACTGGGTTCGATCCTCAGCACCACATAAAAATAAAATAAAAGTGTCCACCTATAACTAAAAAAAAAAAAATTAAAAAAGCAATGAATTCTTTTTTTCATATATAAGACCATGAAAAAATTTCAATAAATCAACAAATAGGCCAAACATGATAAATGCATCTTAGGTGTTAAGTAAGTAGGGTCATATGAGACTACTACTTATGAAAAAAACTTTTTAAAATACTTTAACCACTAATTTCAATTCTGAAATATAATTACTTTAACTGTTGAAATATTTTCTAACAAATAATATACAGATAACTTTAGTCTTAATATAAGACCTGCAAAAAGTCAATGACTTTCTGGACTACTCAAATTCAGAAATAGTTCCACATCATTAAGACAAATCAAGCTTAATCACTTCAGTCACTTCAACCAGTAATTAATACCCTTGCCCTGTTAGTCATTTTTCAGCTATGCTTCAAAATATTTCAAGCCTAGATTAATCCAGATCTCTGGCTCTATTTTGCCTATACCTGAAGCCTTATTATAGTCAACTGATGGCTGGCTGCCTTTTCATTTGGAAAAGTAATGGCACACTTCACTAAACATTAAAAAAAAATTATTATTCCACTGTACTATTTACTACCAGAACAGAAAAATTACCATCTGATTTACTATGCAAAGCACATATTAAGTTTAAAAAAATAAAAAACCAAAAACCTACTTGGGAATGGAGGGGGTGGTGGGCCAGGTAGAAAATAATCTCTAGATGCTCCATACATGTTTCCTGGAGGTGGAGGAGGTGGAGGAAAAGAAGGTCCTCTTCTCATGAAGTGACTCCTTGGGTCCACTGGAAACAATGGACCTCGGATTGGAGGAAGAGGTGAAAAACCAAAGCGAGAGCCAGTTGCTTGGTTTTCAGCAGGCAGAGATGAATCAGGCACATTTGAATTCTGAAACAAATTGACAAGTTACAGTCACTAAAAACAACAACAAAACTTGCAATCGCTTTCCTGAAAATCTTAGGCTTGAAAGAAAGCACATAGGCTCATGTACAGAAAGCATCTATGACAGTCTTAGAAAGCTACAGAGCAAGATTCAGTTTTCCACTTAAACCAACAGCTAAATTTTAGCTACTATAAGTATTTTATTAACTTAACAGAAAACAACTTCAATCAATAAAGTATATTCTGGTTAAAGATAAAACAGATATAATCCAAGAATATCAAAATTACAATCTTTTATCAAGCAGATATTAAAACACAAGAAAGAACAAGATGCATATATTTTCAAAGTATCCAAAACCAATATTGTAATTGTAGTAAATAAAAGTGTACTGTCATGGTTTAGATGTGGTATCCCCCAAAAACTCACGTGTGAGACAATGCAAAAAGTTTCAGAGGAGAAATAATCAGCCATAGCATTAATCTAATCAGCAAATTAATTCCTGATGGGATTAACTGGGTGGTGGCTGGAGGCAGGTAGGGTGTGGCTGAAGGAAGTGGTTCATTAGGGGTGTGACTATGGGGTATATATTTTGTATTTGGAGAGTGGAGTCTCTCTCTCTCTCTCTCTCTCTCTCTCTCTCTCTCTCTCTCTCTCTCTGCTTTCTGATCATGATGCAAGCTGCTTCCCTCCACCACACTCTCCCCCACCATGATGTCCTGCCTCACCTTGAGCCCCAATGAATGGAGCCAGCCTTCTGTGGGCTAAGACCTCTGAAACTGTGAGCCCTCACAGTTTTCTACAGTTTTTCCTTTTCTACAGTTGTTCTGGTCTGGTCTTTTAGTAACAGCAGTGAAAAAGCTGACTAAAACATGTACTTTATGACACTCAGGTTAAAATCAAAGAGGGAAATCTAATCTTGTAGTCAACTAGTAAACTAACTCAAATCTCTGGCCTGCAAGTTGTACTTTATCTCCACAGGTTACAATTCAGAAAATAAGAAGCTTTAATGCTATATAGAAAGTTTATTTGTTAAGAGAGAAGCAGCTTTATATTCTATTCCAGTAAGCAAAGAGATTAGAAGGCTCTTGAAAACATGAATAAAATTCCAGTTTCAATACTTACATCAAGATCATCTTTGGTATCATTTGTACTGGATTCCATTTCTAAAGACATAGGCCCATCTGGAAATAAAAATTAAACCATGAAAAATACATGATTTATCACTACATACCTAGATTATTTCCAGATCACAAAGGACATTGACATTTTCTCATTACCCTTGTTGGCAAAGAAACCAGTTTGACACCAGCATTTTGTATTCAGGCACCAAGTACAGCCTGACAGCCATGAAAACTTTGGCAGAAAGAATTCTGCAACAGTCTATGGCAAGTGATTTCTCCAGCTGATTCCTAAGCAACCCTACAGCAGCAGCATCATAAGGAGACATATGGGAAGTAGCACCCTTCTCTTCTCTCCTTCTCTCTCTCCCTTTTCTTCCTTCCTCAAGTGATATAGTTTAGCCATTTGAAGTTAGCCCCTGTTTTTAAATGAATGTTCCTGGACTTTATCATCAAAAGCAGTTCAGTCCCCAAGGAATAAATGCTACCTTCTCTCTGGCCACATCTACCTATTTTCTCTAAGCTTTCTCATTTAGTCACTCATTTAGTCATTTAGTCCTTGGATGTCTCTAAGGCTTCCAGTCCTCTCATCTAGTCTTCTCTCTTCCCTTCTTTCCCTAATTGAGTAGACTTCAAAGTCAATCACTTCAGCCAGAAGCATAGTCATTTTTCAGCTGTGCTTCAAAACATTTCAAGCTTAGATTAATCCAGATCTCTGTCTCTACTCCTGTACTTTGCCTATACCTGAGACACCTAGTACTGCCAGGAGTGGGGGGGGGGGGGGGACAAGTTATGTGGTCTGGCACCACTCTATCATACTTCCAGCAGCATACTGCCTTGACCTTCCATGTCTTCTTAGCCAGCTTTCTCCTTAGCAATTCAAATCTCCATTCTCTTCAAAATTGAATGGTACACTCCTTTAATGTTTGTGATAAACATAAACATGCTGCAGCTATATTTTTATGATCTTTGCTCCTACTATCATGGAAAAGGATCCTTCTAGACAATCTATGATCCAGAGTCCAAAATCCCTCTCCCTCCAGCTTCCTCAGGGATCTTCCCCTCTCTGTGGGCTCCTTCCTGTCTTTCTGCTAGGTTCTGATCTCTCCTATTTAAGACTGAGAAAGAAAAAGAGAATCCTTTTGTAGCTCCCTCTCTTCTTCACAATGAAGAACTATTCTGAAAAAAAAAAAAAAAGAACTATTCTGTACATATTGTTCTAAATTTCTCCCCTTTTGCTCTCATTTTACTGAAATTCATTTGCAACAACTACTGATCCACTGAAATTATTTTCCCCAACATCTGAAAATCTATTTATGTACTAAATTAAAATAGACGTGATTAGTCCTCATTTTACGTTACACTAGTTCCTCTCTTATCTAACATTTCACTTTCTGTGGTTAGTTATTCACTGTAAACTATGGTATAAAAATATTAAATGCAAAATTTCAGAAAAAAAGCAATTCATTTTTAGATTATCTACCTTTGAGTACATGAATACCATGTACTCAAAAAGAAGTACCATTCCACTCTTCCTATCTAGGATATAAATCATTACTTTGTTCAGTGAATCCGCTCTCTATATACTGCTGGTACACATGTATCAGCAGAGCATATGTATCAAGCTATGACTTGTATTACCTTTTTCATTTTTTGCTCATGCTCAAGTTTTTCAAGTTCCCTGAAAAGCAGCTTAAATGATACCCCCTTAATAGAGTTTTTCTGCTCTTTCAACTAGATGGGAGTTCTACTTTTCACTAAACAAAGCATACTATCTCTACTGGGACTTACTATTCTGACCTGTACTAATAAATAAACATATATATTTATTTTTCTCCCTACTGAATTATTAAAATCTTATAGGCAAAGAATGTATCTTACTATATACTGCATTTTATGCAAGGTATCTCCTAAATAGTAGGCACTTAAAAATAAATAATCTGGTAAATCATTTATTGTCCAATTAGGGAAAAAATGAAAATAGTAAATAAAAAATAAATAAATAAATAAAATAAAAAACTTTAAACAGCATTAGCTAAGAAATTAATGTTAATCATGCATATACATATTGAACATGAATTACTGGGGGAAAACAACCTCAAAAGCCAAACAGAAAAAATTATCTTAATTATAACCAATAACAAAAATATAGACTCTAGATTTGCTTCTTTGCTCACTATTCAAAAAAATACAAATTTTCTGAAACAAATACTTCAATGGATAATGTCCCCCAAAATATATACATATTATACATACATTGTGTGTGTGTGTGTGTGTGTGTGTATTAGAGGATATAATAGAGGTTCTTTTCCTTTGGTAATTTATTCTCTTATCAATAAATTAATTTTAATACTCCACTTCTTAAAAATTGTTTTGCTTTGTTAATGTTATACATTTTTTAAAATGCTTTTGGGGGGGTTGTAGATGGGTACAATACCTTTTATTTATTTATTTTTATGTGGTGCTGAGGATCAAACCCAGTGTGATCAAACCAAGTGTGATCAAACTCACACTTGCTAGGCAAGCGCTCTACCATTGAGTTACAACCCTAGACCCTGTGTTATACTCTTGATTGCTACACTAGATGCATATACTTTCTAACTTCAGTGGATGGTTGTGAGGTAGTTTAAGTAAAAGGATACCTGACTAATAGTAGATTGCTCAGTAATTGTTAGTTAAATCTACTTATGAAATGTTGTAGCAAGGTAACTGATTAAATCATTAATAGAATATGTACCCAAATTGTTTTTCTGGTGGACTTTCTCATATACATTCACATTTGCCTAATTTCTCTACTTACTAAACAGGATATATGTAAGTGGACAGGAAAATTTTTAAATTTTTTTTTTTAAGTCATAGCTGGACACAACATCTTTGTTTTATTTATTTATTTATTTATTTTTATGTGGTACTGAAGATCAAACCCAGCACCTCGCACATGCTAGGCGAGCACTCTACTGTTGAGCCCCTGGAAAATTTTTAAAATAGCCATGGAATAAAGTTTACCATCAAAGGTACATAGAAGAAACCCATTACCATAGTGCTCAAACCAATCGCCACAAAATATTTAGATGCCATGTCTGTGTAGAATATAAAAAGAAACATAAAACCAGGAAGTTTCAGGAAAGAGATTTCAGTCTTAAGAGCTAACAGACATACATTTACATTATTCTTTCATTCAGCTTCCAGTTCTTTAGTGTGTCACTATTATTTAAACACACAAAGTATTTCTTACCCACTTTACCCAAAGAAGGCATATTAAAACTTCTGAGTTCTGCTGGTCCAGATAATCTACCAGAATTAGAATAATATCTATCTTGCCTTTGTGGAGGAAGAGGTGGATCAGAATATGGTTGACCTACAAAACAGATTTTTAAAATATCTTCATTAATATAAACATAAAATCTAACTTACTTTATTTTAAAAAACTTAGAAATTTCTCCTGCTTCCAAAAATCTCTGACCCATATTATTGGTAGACAATATTAATCTTAGAAAAATTGCATACTATAAGCAATAACTTTGCTTTTTATATTAAATACAAGTGTAATTTGCTACCTTGGATTTTGAAAGTTTCAATTATTATGTATAAAAATGTGAGTTAAATCTATTTGAGTATAAAATGAACAATTTATCTTGATAGAATGTATGAAAACAGAACTCAGTTAAAAATACATTTATACATAAATTCATTTAACTTCTATTATTACTATTATGGTAGATTAAGATGAATAAACAAACATATCAACAAAGACAGAAGATAGCTAGCTACTAGCATAGGGAGAAAAGAACAAGAAAATATAAGCATAGCAAGAAACTTGTTTTATAGTGAAACAAGTAACAATATGACACCACAGCAGAAACAGCATCAGTTGGAAATCATCAGTAGTCAAATTTTTACTAAATTCAACATTGTAAAACTCAGCATCCAACTCAAACTAAAGGGAAAGATCTCTAACTCAATAAATGAACAGAGGTTCTCACTGCTAAGATTAAAGACATCTGGATAGACTCAAATTTAGACCCAGACTTTACCTAGGTTTATCTATACAGCCACCATCCTTTGTTCCTGGGGGTCATTTATGATGACAAAATGGTAATTCCTGAGTCCTTATGGAACTCAACTTTCTTGAAAAAATAGTCTATCTCATTCTTGAGAGGTGTTGGCAATCTTTGCCAGGTATGTATATGTCCAAGTCCAAATACATGGAGAAGGTCAAAGAGGGTGAATTGTGTGACTCTCTCCGATCCTATTAGAGATATGAACAAATATCCTCAAATTGCTTTCCACGATGGTTCCAGGCAGTGGTTCAGAATGTGAACTCCGTACAATCATTATTAGATAGGTCAATCCTTGTCTGACTCAGTCACATGGGACTTACTGAAACATTCCCCCCACACAAAGCCAAGGAAACCACCTAGCATCAACCAGAGTCAATGGAGAGAATTGAATTTAATGAGCTCCCAAGGGTTAGAGGATGTGATGGAAGACAGAAAGATCCAGATAGCCTTGAAGGCTCACTTACACTCCTTTTTAGAATCTTAGCAAAGAGCTATCTCAGTGGAGCCCAACTAGCCCTGTGAAAGTAAAGGCCAGCACTAAATACAGATCTAAACTGAGTTTTCCCTTTCTACTTCAAATACAGGATTAATTAAATGTCGGATTTGTACAAGAGGATGAAATAGGGAAACCTAAAAACCTCTCAACTCTTTCTTAATCAGGTCTCAAGATAATGTATCAATATTTTGCTTCTAAAATGCATGTCAAAAAATAAGCAAACTCCAAAATTTTTGAAATTTTGTTACAAATTTACTATATTATAAATCATATGCCCATGTTTCCCTCCACTGGCAAAAATAATCTGTTCCTTAAATCTACCACAGCCTGTATGTGCTAGATACTAGCAATATAGTGTTGTCTCAATACAGTCTGTGCCCTTCTAATCTAATGATAGAAATTAGTAAATATAATGAGACTAATGTCTTAATATAAGGGATACAAATTCATTCATACACACACACACACACACACACACACACACAGGCCTAATGCTGATTAGAGAAATCAGAAATGGTGTTAAAGAAGGAATAAAACTTCCCTAAAAGGAAAGTAAAGAATGAACAAGTAAACAAGGGTATACTGGTCAAACACACCTATTCACACACACACACACACACACACACACACACACACACACATACACACATAAGATAAAGCAAGGTGGAAGGCATACAATAAATGAAAGACTGAAATGTAGAAAATAAGGATATGAATGGTTCATTCTTTTCATTTTGCTTTCATACCTTTGTTTTCTAAGACTTTATAAGAGAAGATATGATTAAAGAACAGGAAAAGAAAAAGGATCAGAGAGAATAATGAATGAGGAGCAGGAATGATTATAGAGGCATGATGAAGCAATTTCTCAACCAAGAATTATACTGGAGAAATAACTATCTCATATACGTCATACATAGCTACTCTTGACAAGTGGAGCAATCTACTAAAAATGAAAATATGAATATGCTTTACCCAGCAATTCCATTTCCTGGATAAATGCACAGAACAAGTGTACAAAAAGTGCTAACTGCAGCATTGTTACCAACACTGAATCCCTGGAAACACTCTATAAATACTCATCAACAAGGATTGGTTAACTATATTGTAGATAATTTATATATACTGTGCTGATACTAAATAACTGTACTGCTATTAAAATGAAAAATTGTACTTATATTAAAATATAAGCTTTATATTAACATGTACATAATTCAAGAACATAATGTTGATAAGGAAAGTTGACAAAATAGTTTTTTTTATTATATATAGATTGAAAGTTTATACATGAGCAGTTGCCTTTAAAGGAAGGACAGTAATGTGCCCAGGAAAGAAAATGGAATAGACCGCAACCCACTTATGTCTTACACATTTATGCTTTTTATGATTTTTTTGTTTTACTTCCATATTTAAACACACACATACATATTTGAAGCAAATATTAATATGTAAATCCTGGGAAGTGATAAACAGGACTGTGCTACAATATCTCACTCTGAGAACTTTGTTAAGTTACCTAATCTCTCTGAGCTTTTGTTTCTTCATCAGAGTTAGAATGATCAATAAAAAGCACTTAACATGGTATCTGGCACAAAATAAGCACCCAAAAGTAACTGTGATGATAAATTGAGTTCATTGTTATGAGTGATATACAAGAATATCCTGTAATCATAATACATTTCACTGATGTTTGAGTTCCTCCACTTTCCCAAATGACTACCATATATCTTTTTCTCTCTCCAAATCACTGACAGTCCTTTCCTTTCCCATTCCCCTAATCTGATGATCTAGCCATGTCAAGAAAACTAAAGCAAGTGGACACCTCCACTTCCCCTCTACATTTGTTCTCACTTGCTTGGTCTTCCTTCCTTTCACAGTGGTTAAATGATCCACTTTCTATTTGTTTCTACAATTACCATCTGGATCCCATGCTTCTTGCTTACTACTCAAGGGTTTCACTTTTCCATCGATACCCTCTCCCATACAAAACATCCATTTCCTCTATCCTGGAATATTCCTAGTAACAGATAAACATGTACTAATATTATTATCTTTAAAAAACAAAACACCTTTTGCTCCAGCTATCATCTCATCTCTCTCCTTCATTCGAAGTAAAATTTTTCAGAAAGTAGTCTACATTTGTCCCCACATCCTAATCTCTCATCAACCCACTCTTCAGGAACAATGACAAATGAATCACAGTTTAATGCTACACACACATATATAGATATATGTGTGTGTGTGTGTGTGTGTGTGTGTGTGTATATATATATATATATATATATACACACACATACATATATATCAATCTGTAACTTATCAACAAAATATTAAGCATTAAAATTCATAGAGGATCACTGTATAAGAAGATATGTGATTAAGAGACATAAACTCCTTTAAAAAAATAGTAGCCTCAAAATTTGTGAACAACTTTAAAATAAACATCCTCTGAGAGAATAAAAGCATAGATTAAGCAAAAATTTTAGAACAGCTCATTAGGTTAATGAAGACTTCATAATCTCATCAAGGGGATGAGATTTAACATAAACTTTAATTCCACCAAATGAATCCTATCTGAAAGAAATGTTCACAATGCAGAACAACGATCTGCGAAAAAGCCAATAAAGTAAAAATCTATGTTCCTACTTCCAGAGCTGTACAAGGTACCCTGGTCTGCCTTTGTTTCTCAACATAAGCAGTAAAAGAATCCTCATCAATTAGGCTGTATATGTCTCTTTTTTTAATATTTATTTTTTAGTTTTAGGTGGACACAATATCTTTATTTTTGTAATTTTTATGTGGTGCTGAGGATTGAACCTAGGCAAACGCTCCACCTGAGCCACAACCCCAGCCCCAGTACATGTCTCTTTTTTGTTTACCTCTTCAAGACAAAAAAAAAAAAAAAAACACGTTTTTAAGCATGCTAGCAAGAAGACCAGACTTAACTTATGATTATATCACCAAAGTATAGTGGCTTAGTCTCTTTTCTACCTCTTACATAAAATATATAACCTAAATCAGTAAACAAGAAGCACTGACAAAAGTAACAGAAACCACATACCCACTTCCTTCTTCTCAACAATTAAAACTAAGACTGTGAAAGTTCAAAAAAGTATAGAGTGGGAATGTGACATAATTCCCTTTAGTTAATGTCTCTACTTTAGGTAGCATAAGATTTGCAAAGGATTAAGATTCTTATTCTTCTCTATTACTACTCCCTCTTGGGAAGGGAAAAACCAGACCAGTTAGAAAAATATACGATGGGATCTAAAAAGTGTATTTTTAAACATAATTATATAGTAAGTGAAAATACATTTTAAGAGTATTATCCCTCTGGTAGATTACATTCCTGAGCTCTATTCTTCATTTCTCCCTGCAGCCTTATTCTGAAGAGGGAGAATATATTTCCTGTCCATTTGATTCTAAATTGTGATATGACCTGCTTTGGTCAATAGAATGTTAGCTGGTATGGCTCAGAGAGATGCTTTTTTTTTTTTAATTTAAGAAAATCATTTTTATAGTACATAGGGCTTTTGTTTTTGCTTTTCTGTTTGTGTTTTGTTTTGTTTTGTTTTACATTTATCATGCCATGAATGCAGAGGGAATAGGTCCCAGCAGCTTAGGATCCTTTCCATTTTTTCTCATAAAATGTGCACCTCTGCATGGAACAGGCTGGTGCTTCAGATGAACCCAGGTATCTTTATTCTCAGCTTCCTTCTTTTTCTGATCATTCTTCTTCACATGTTTCAGGAAGCTGTCTCAGCTCTTAGAGTGCTTAATAGGATCAATATGCACATCAGTTCT